GGGCATTGCCAGGGGGTCACCCGTGAGGTATATTCTCAATCAGCATGACGTGACGACTATTTTAGGCCAAAAATTAGGCCCTCAAAAAAGTACTAGCGCAGCAAAAAAGTTAACAATCACAGCAATCCTAGCGCTCCACTATAGTATACACTGCGCCAGCAGAAAAGTCAAGACGAATTCTAGCGCAGCAGAAAGTAAATAGCAATCTATTCGCGCCCAACTATAGTCAGTCTCAAATCAGGATGCCGAAACGCAAGCAATAGCAGAAAACGCATGAAATAGCAGAAAAGCAGTAACCCCAAAAAAATCCGGGCATCGCCGGGATAGCCCACAGCTAGTATTATATATAGTGGCGCATTGTTCCCTCCCCCCCCCCCGGGAACACGGACCGTTTATAGAGTGTAAAAATCAAGGAAGCTGTTAGTATTTGCTTGATATCTCTTCCAGCGCCATAGCTTCATCTGTACGGACAGTTCTGCCACTGTATGTGCTTATTCCATGTATGTACGTACGTGCGTGTGAGTGTGCGCGTGCGTGCGTGCGTGCGTGCGATGCGTGCGTGCGTGTAGTAATCGTGTCACCGTGACAGGGTTTATTCTCAGCGTGAAGTATATCAATTATTTATTCGCCGTTGTTCGGGAAGTTTAACGCGCGCTGACTACGGTCTACACGGTACGTTATCGCTCTAAATCGGTGCGCCCGTGGCTCTGTCATTATCACGGTTGCAGCAAGCGCGAGCAGCAACGTTGTTTATGATTATTTGGCACGTAGAGAAGAAAGCCACCCGGCGGGTGCAAATCCGCGTTGATGTCACGATGTGATAGTGCTGGTGCTAGTGCTGTTGCTGGGGCTAGTGCTAGTGCTGGTGCTGGTGCTGGTGCTGGTGCTAGTGCTGGTGCTGGGCTGGTGCTGGTGCTTGGTGCTAGTGCTAGTGCATGGACTGCTGGTTGCTGGTGTTGGGTGCTGGTGCTGCGGTACTGGTGTTCGTGCTGGTGCTTGGTGCTGGTGCTAGTGCTAGTGCGTGGACTGCTTGGATGTGCGTGTTGGTGCTTGTGGTGCTGGTGCTTGGTTGGTGCTGGTGCTGGTGCTTGAGTGCTGGGTCTGGTGTTGGTGCTGGTGCTGGTGCTGGTGTTGGTAAAATCACAATCGTACGCGCAGTTCCTAGACGGCGTGTCTCCAGTGATTGCCCGGGTGCACGGCCACGACACTGCGGACACGCTGCTGAGGGCACATATTTGCGTTGCGCTTGACCTACTGGAACCTGCTTCCATGTATAGCCGCCGTCCGCGTCGTGTTCCACGCTGTAATAAACACCTAACATCATCGTTATTCCTCCCGACTCCCTGTGAACTTATCCCTATTCGTTAGTCCAAACGTGCAAAGCCTTACTGTGGTGACATTGCGTGCACTCTGACCGCAGCAGCTCAGGTTGCCTGGCGACTCTCTATATATATATTAATATACGAGTGATTATACCACTCGGGGTGACGAAGCCACTAATGTCACATCAATTTCTGCGTGGATATTGTGTATGAAGTGTAATAAACGCCTGTTTAGGCGGGCTCTCTTCTCTGTCGCTCTTCTCCTCGGCTTTCTGCTACGAGGTAATCGCATCCTGTCAGAATGCACGATGCGCCGAGGACAATCCTTGCTGCTTTCTCCTATTAATATCCACGTGATTAGGCTCTGCCGTCTTAGTCGTGTAATACCTGCTGTAAATTTTAACTAAAAGTCGCGGAAAAGCTTTTCCTACGGTCGTTGCGATTGCATGGATTCTCCATTGCGGGCCGTACACGCATAACTCATAGACCGGCCGGGGAAAGTGTTCCTGAGTCAGATCAGCTTGATTTCATTGTCTTGGTGTCCGGTTGTCGCTGTGCGCTGTGCTAGTAGCGCGTGGCATGTGGGCTTGTGCGTGTGGGGCGCGTCCGAGGACCGGCTGTGAGTCATCTGTTATTTATGGTGCGTTGGCGTGGGCGGTGGCGTGGCATTCGTTGTGTCGTCGATGCTCCCCGCTTGCGGTGTGTGGGGCAACGCGTGCCTGGTCGTCTATCTAGGCCGTATTCCCCACCTCTCGCGGCCCGTCGCTGCGCGTGCGCTGATGGCGTGCCCAGTGCCCGTGTGCGTCGCGCCTAAAATGGTACGGAGTGTGAAACGAGTGTAATCTGGATCGACCGTACCCATGCCCGCGCACTGATTGTGCATGAGACGGACAGTAGCACGTAAACCCTGCAGGATGCCGACGGAGGAGAGAGAGAGAGCGTGCGCTGTGCTGGGTGCGCTGTGTGTGTATGTACGTACGACGGGAAAATGGGTCACTAGCACACTCTAGTCTCACCAGCAGGCTGTGTTTGCTGAAAGCCGGCACTCCAGCAGCCGCTGATATTTCGCAAAAAGATGCCCGTCGCCTGACCCACCGTCTCTGTCTGCGCCCACGTTTGGTGCCGGAGCACGTACAAAAAATATCGCGCCGATATATCGCATACTCCTGTATTTATTGTATAACTCGGTGCATAGATTGTCGCCGAGCGTCCGCGTTTGTGTGGTGGCTTCGATATATATATACTGTATATACGCTGTATATTTCGCGGTGGTTTAATTTTCGTGAATTTCGCGAACGCGTCCCCGACCGCGAAAATATCAATACGCGAATGATTCATAACGAATAATACCGAATATTTCATAATTCACCTACCGCGAAATTAACCACTCGCGAAATTGTCTGTCAAGTCTGAATTCGCGAAAATATCTGTACGCGAAAAGTATTGCGTATAAAGTACGGGATTATTTACGGATTGTGTGAGTTGTTATGTGACTGTGTGTATGTGAGTGAGCGAGTGATGATGATTCCTCAGTGCTTCGCAGTTAGCGTTTAGCGTTTTGTAGGCCTATTTTTTGGCAGTAGGTAATCGATAAGCGGTAACCCAATAAAAAAACTCCTTTTTCGAGTAAATAAGTCAGCAATTGGGAATCCATTCGTGTGTACCCGTGCAAACCTGCAACGTTTCCCGAAACCACATCTACGGGTAGACGAAGTCAGGTGTCCTGAATTATTTATGCTTTCATTTATTTGTCTGGCCCATTTTCGTCTCCATTAAATTAGCCGGATGTCCATATCACGCATAGTCGTTGCTGAAAGTGGTGGCATTCAGTACAGTCAGTTATATATATATGACGTGCCATAAATATCACATGACGCGTCATCGCGACAGGCGACTGATAATTTACGCATTAAAAATCCCATAGTTGCGCGTTAACGAGCACTAGCTATCTGCGTGATACAGGACTATAATAATACGTAGCAGTCGTGCAGGGCGGCGATGACTGATTGCACGGGAACGCTGTAGAAATGACACGCGATGCACGCAGCTGTAATGGTATTCTACATTGAGCCCTGTTAACGAATTCCCTATCCCTGAATGTTTAGTCTCCATGAGATTTGCTCGTGCACATAGTAAAGTTGTTGTTAATGAAACCAATATCGATCAGCACCGTCAGCCTTATTTCAAGTCTCCTCTCAGACGGTGTGGTAGTCAGTTGGACGGCGGCTGATTGCCTGCGCGCGTATAATATTCGTGCGCGCGATAGAATGACAATGGGGTTAGCAGAGATGCCAACCACTACGATTTATCCGTATTTTATACGAATTTCGTTTGCATTTTGACCACTACGACCAATTTGCATACAACTACGATTTTTATTACGATCGAAAAAATTTTTTTTTTATGATATTTCAATTGTTTTGTTTCAGTGTTACATTGATATAACATGATTAAAAATAACTACATGTATTTAGCAGCAAATATCAGTGTGAACTTATTATCATTTTGGGTCCCAGAATGCAGGAAATTGCCCTCGGACTACAGATTTCAGATATCCTCACTACAGTTTGCTCAGAAAAGTGTTGGCATCTCTGTGTTAGTTGTCCAGTAATTCGACGTACAGAAACACCACCAGTAAAGAGAAAGTACTACATTTCTATGCAAACATAATTGGATGTTAGCAGCATTATTGGAACTCCAATTATTAGAAGCTTTCGCCTGGCACATGAGGTTCTATTGTGTTGAAAGAAATTTGTTTTGTTAGTTATTAAAGCCTGTCATTAATGATTAGCAGTTCGTATTGTGTAATTAATAATGAGTAGGAAATATGAACTCGTGAGTGAAGGTGAGTGAAGCATTAGTGAGAGAGGGAGGAGGGAGATGGAAGAGTGAGAGAGGATGAACGAGTGAGTGGCACGGGAGATGTTAGAGTGCTGTAGGGAACGAAGAGAGATATGAGGAGTAAGTGATGATAATTGTGTGTGCGTCCAAACGAGATAGGAGGAGGGCTACGTTGAGAAAGCGACTGCGTGACAAACGGATAGGGGAAGCGGAGTGCGTATGAGAGAGAAAGCGCGATGGATTGTGGGGTGGGGTAGAGAATGCAATGTAATGCTGCAGTGAAAACCAGCCACTCCCTCCCGTCTCTATTTAGCTGCAAACAGTGTTTCCTCTTGTTCTATCCCACTGTGATAATAGACTTTCCAGAACGAAGCGTTTATAGGCAGAATGGTGTTATTAGCAAGCATTACTATTTCTAACTGCTGCGGCTGAGTGGGTGCTGGCAGATAGCCTGTCCAACAGCTATGTATTATTATTCCTGGCTCTCGGTATCTAGGCCAGTTTACACAGGCCTTTCACGTCATGCACGAGCCTGCTATTGATCTTTCTGGTATTGAGGTCAGAAAGGACATAGGTCAGCTAGGACAGCTGCAGCTGTGATAATTATGGCGAGACCTATATTACCTACTTTCACTGACTGGCTCTGCCTTCTGCAGTTAAGACAGCTGCTGCCATCTATCAACGGCTACGTAATCAATCCAGTATGTACCTGGAGTGTTTGCTCTTCACTGTCGGTATTATTAATAAATATGCCGATTTCCATACTTACATACATTAAATTGCCAAAGACGATCAGAGACCGTTAGTAAACAAACTCGTTCTTTCGTTTCTGCATAGGTTGAGGACCAGATGAAGTTGCTGCAGTTGTCGTGGTCCGAGTTGCTTATCCTCGACATGGTCTACCATCAGCTGCACAACTCGCTGCCCAATGAGACGCTGCTGCCCAACGGTCAGAAGTTCTCGCTGCTCAACCTGACGCTGTTTGGATTTTCCAACATGGCGGAGCGACATCACGAGCTGCTACAGCGGCTGCGACAGATCAAGTTCGATCGCAACGAGTATCTGTGCATCAAGTTCATCATCCTGCTGAATCCAGGTGAGCGTGCGAGTCCAGGTGAGCGTCCTCACAATTTCACGCAATAATTATGACACCGTCTTGAAATGTGCACATTTTTTAAAGGCATACTAGGCCCATTGATTATGCAATGTTGACGAATGCTAGAGTAACTGGCACCTTGTGTAGTTAATAAGTACATAACCTTATAGCCAAGCTAGTATGCCTTTAATCCAGATGAGCATGAGCTTACAATTCCAATCACGGCACCGTCTTTCAGTGTGCATATTTTTGTATACAGGGATAACGTGATGTTGTCGTCCAGTATTTAGGCACTTTAGGTGATATTGCCCCGTGCAAAGGCAACTGAAAGGGCACCAAGTCGAGCACAAAACACAACAACTTTGCTTACGTTTGATGGATTCACGAGCAGGGTGTTTCAGCACTCACTGTTTTGTTAATGTGGTGTTTTGAATCTTGTAGACGTGAAGGGGCTGACAAATAGCAAGCTGGTCGAAGAAGCTCAGGAGAAGGTCAACAATGCGCTCATGGAGTATTGCTCCAGCTTCTATCCAGAAGTAAGTGCTTTGTCAATTCTGTTTTTCTCTCACACTGTTAGAAATTAACCTTGTGATGCTGCCGGAATGGATTTGTGGATTTCTGTTCAGATTCCAGCCCCTCAAACACAAGAATCGGCAGTGATGTAAAAGAGCAGTTGCCTCAAAGTAATCAATTGGTTATTTGATAGAATCATCTGAGTCAACACAAAATCTCCGTAATTAGTCTTCTCCGCTTCTCTGCTCTATTCGTGCAATCTGCATGACCATTGTACAAGACTGTAGATCTCCATCGCCCTCTGAAGCCCTTGCTATATTTTTACCCGTCCAATCTCGATAAGGTTTCATGTCGGACAATTTTTGTTATAAATGTTCCAGAAAGCTTTTGAATTAATATAATATAATTAATTAAGAATATTATTATTAATTATTATTAATATTAATAATAATAATTATAATTAATATAAGTTGAAAAGTTAAGCGTGGTGATGCAATGCAGTGCTTTGCGTGTGCTGTACGGGCAAAGCGTGCAGGAGTTGTTCAACTCTTGTTATCAATGCTGCGGTGCTTTCTTGCAGGTGGAAGACAAGTTCGGACAGATCTTGCTGCGTCTGCCGGAGCTGAGGCTCATCAGCATTCGTGGCGAGGAGTTCCTTCACTTCAAGCACCTCAGTGGCGGCCTGCCCACCCAGACCCTCCTCATGGAGATGCTTCACGCCAAGCGGCGGCTCTGAGGGTGCACACAAGCGCACCCGAGAGGTGTCAGACTCATGGTGTCCTGTGGGCGCATCGTGGCGCCACCTAGGCACGCAGCCTACTCTGCGGAAGTGTATCCCGCCGAGTTGGGTGACGTCCGTGTCGCTGGGGTCGCTGCTCGCGGGCGTGACTCGATAGCTAGAACAACTCTGGCCTTCACCACAGCAGCAGGTGACGGCAGCAGAAGCCGCTACTCGCCCTGGTAGTTGCGTGGAACCGCGGGAGAACACGGTGCCACTGTGCTGGAGGTTTGCTGGACACGAGCCACCACCGAGTTTAGCCGCGTGCTTTGTGCGTGCGTCGGAGTAAATTCGCGTGCTGGTAATTTTGTTGGCAGAGGTTTTTAGTACTGACAAGATAACGATTAGTGAGAATTTGTGAGGGATGGTGAACTTCCCGTGGGCTGGTGATCGCAATCAAATAAACTGAACATTTGCGCTGCCAGCATTTCTTATGTTGGACTTGGAAGGTTCTGCAATCGACATGATTATCGATGGTTGAGGCCAGACACTCTGCGTAAGGCAACAAGCAACAAGCTAGACAGAGAGAGAAAATGAGGGGAGTGTCTGTGGCAGCGACCAGCAGCTTGTGCATAGCCAATCACGCAACACTTTTACATTTGTTTATTTTGAAATGGAGGTTCAAAATGAACTATAGAGTGTTGCGAAAAATGATTTTTAGTAGTTAGGTAATGAACAAATGTCTTAGGAAAGATGTCGATGGAATGATGTGTGGGATGGCAGTTGGTCTCAGCATTGCATCCAGGTGAGAATCTAAGCCAGTTATCCAGAGCCATTGATTAGTTGTGCCTGGTAGGTGGAGCTGAGAACGTGACAGGTACGTGCGTGAGAGCTCAGCCAACCAAAATCTTTTGATACCAAAAATAAATAGCGCCTAATCGACACAACATCCACTCCACATTCACAGAGATTTATTTTTAATAGTGTTATATCTACAATACGTATATCACTCAGCTTGTACGAAATTCACTCATCACTTGAATTCATCCTGGCTGGCTATAGACTCGAATATGATATACCCCTTACACATGAATGTAAAATAAACCATACTACTGCAGTAGGTCTCAAACTATTTCATTACTATCGTATATGTGCAGCATGTACATATCGAGTGTATATTAGACTATTGCCTCATATACACTCGAACTTACGTAGATGTGGGTTCATGCCTGCGCCAATTATTCTCTAGTGATGACCCGGCTGTATTAGTGGTGTGGTAGGTTCCATCCAGGTAGATATTCTGTTTTCTCAGAGCATGCATACCAAACTGTGTGTGTTTGTGTATGGTCGACTTAAGGGTATGGAGTGGGGTGGGTTGGAAGGGAAAGGGAACAGAGTCAGAGCAAGACATTGCAGTTGCGGTGCAGTTAAGCACACAGAGTGACTGAGGTGGCGGCTTTCATCGGGGTACGTTTACAATAGATAGCTCTGGGTGTGTGTATGTGTGTGTGTGTGTGTGTGTGGGTGGGTGTGTGTGTGTGGGTGGGTGTGTGTATGTGTGTGTGTGTGAACGTGCGTGTGCGTGCGTGCGTGCGTGCGTGCGTGCGTGTGTTATTCACTTGGTTTTGTACTGTGATATTACGTTGTGTGATTAGAAATGATTCTGAAAAACTCGGGAACTGCTTCCTGCATATGAATGGGGGAGATGAGCCGCACCAGTCTCGTTGCATGTCGCCTGAGAACAGAATATGTAGCGAGGATTAAAAACTTTGTTTCTTGTACTGCTACTGTGACTGCCTATCGCAGTGGCTGTTCCATTTGATCGCCTCTGTCCTCGTTAGCCAACCTTCGTACGGTTCCTGTAGTGGCGAACGTACCAGAACTCTTATTATTTAATACAACTGTAAGGTTTTATTACAAAATATACCACACTGTACCCAGCCTGTAGTATCAAACATACCACACTCCACGCCAGCCCATGGTATGACACTTCACCCCAACCTATAGTATAGAACATACCACACCGCAAACTGTAGTATAGAACATACCACACTGCACTCAACATATAGTATAGTACATACGACACTCCACCCAGCCTATAGTATAGTGCATACCACTACCCAAACCGTAGTATAGAACACACCACAATCCGACCAGGAGTAGGACATATATATATACAACACTCCACCCCAGCCTGTAGTATAGAACGTAGAGAACATACCACGCCGTAATCTTTAATAATAACTAATAAGGCAACCCTTGTCAGCTGTGCTGGTATTCTGCCTTGTATATATTGATGTAATAACGCGGTTAAACATATGGTATTCTGTTTTCTGTGACCATTAGCGGAATTTAGCCAGTGATGAATAATTCATAATTTAAGCCTGTGTAGATATTATCAAAGTTGGCTGGAGCACTATTTTTGTGATCGGAAAATGTAGTACTATGTGAACGCAATTGTTAACGGTGTTAGTATATCGACCACTGGTGGATGACGTGATGCCTTTACATGGTTTTAGGATGGTAATGTTAGTTTGACAACTTGTGTTAGTTTCGCACTGACAGATTATTTGTCGTCCGTGTTGCGTGGACGACTTAATGCACGTGTAGCTAATTTAGGATCTGGGATAGCATGAAATTTGCATGAGTGGATTAATACAGAAACTGCATGGTCATTCATTAATTACCACGTTTCACTGGATTAATCAAAACCCATTTCCTGTGTCCTTTATCGCCATCTCGCTGTATGTAGTACATTTTTACATAGCTGAGGCACAAGGCAAACTTTATAGATTGATATTTGTATCTAGGCTGCAGGCTGGCCTATTATTGTTTCCCACAGTGCTTCAGATCCGTGGCCACCGTACAAACACAGTGCTAGCTGGCTGATCTAGAAGACGCGGTCGTGTTTGTAAATCAATTGGACAGTTGTAAAGATTTATGATAACGTTCGAAGTTCATGGTACGACTTGTGTGGCAATTCGCATAGACGTCATTCGCGTTACCGAAATAAGGAGATGTATATTTTTAGAATCGAACGACGCGTGCGTGCCCGAATTCTCGCGCAGACGATAAAGTGCCAGTATGTCATGTGATGTATCGCGACATTTACGGTCCTGTCGCTGCGTGCGACCAGCTGACAGCATATTGCTACGAGTTTTAGAACAGTATCTTGCAGCGACTCGCACGTTTCAAATCGACAACGGATCATATCATAGGCATAGTGATTGCTGAGTTTATATTGTCATTTTGTTCATGTGTTCGTGTATGAAGTGATTCCACAAACACCGGTGGATCTCCGCATTGTACATTTTTTGTTGGAATGATTTATGAAAATGTACATTTTCATATTATTTGAATCGTTTATAGCCAGTGCTGTATATAATTTACAGATATATACTGTACACACAATTGTTTAGTCATTTATCATGTTTTCACTATTTTAAAGTATATTTCCTTTAATGACTTAGTAGTTCACAGCTAGAGCGGTCTGTAGAATAGATCTATCATAGATTGTAGATAAGAACATTATTTTGTGTTACTTTATATTAGCAGATGGCACGTGACAGTGCATCTGTCATCCATTCTCAATTCTCTGCGAGTCGTTTATAATGGTGTACAGACATGTCAACAGAGAAATAAATAGGCATTACTAACAGAAACCATTTTGCTTATATAGGCCTTACCTACCCTTACTATTAGGCGTAATGTTATAGAGAATAGCACTACAATACACGTACAATAGCAACACAAATCGCCAGGTCGAAACTGGAGGTCAGTAGTCAAAAAATTAATTGTTAATTGTTACCGCAGTTAAATTATGGCCCTGTTTACCAAATCAGTGGCCTTGCTACACATACGCGGTTAAATTGTGTATCAAGGCATCTGAATGGGTAAAAGGGCTATAATTTAACCGCGGTTGAATTATTTCTACTGCGGCAAAAATAATTATTTCTGAGTACGTACGATGGCCAACCATACCACAAGGTGGCTGCCACAAATTATTTTGCTGCTTCTCTCTACTTGAAAGTCGTAGAGACTGGTCAGCAGCTAGCATTTATGCCAACGCTTAAAATGCGCGCGCGTACGTGCATCTAAAGTCGCAAATGATCTATTAATATTCGTGATATCGGGTCATATAATGAAAAATTACATGCTAACTGGGACGGAGGTAGAGTCAAAGGAAATTGTTTTTGCAAACGCGATTTACAGATTGACCCATTGAGTCCATTTAATTTCACTACTATATTGAAAGACATGACCCGTCTACAGAGGTTTGCACCAAATGCGAAACATAATTTTAGTTTCCCAGGGCTGGCAATTTTCCAGGACAGGAATGTATGCACAGGAGTAAGATTTAGGACCAATACAATCCTCATATCTCGTCATTTTCAAATAACGATTAGTACATAAACCTTTGGATGAAGCAACATTTATTGCCTTTCGGATACGGAATGTGTTAAATTTCAATGAGATTTCGAGCCAACTTTAACAGCTCATTTTCGAAGAATGTGTCATTGGACGTTGCAGGCTTGAAACAAAATAGTATTTGACAATTCTTCAGACCCATACGAACCCTCGAAAGACAACCTGACATACATTTTCTATATGTACAGTAAAATACATCCAGAACTTGTACCAGAGCTTGCAAGAAAACGTATAGCGTTGATTAGTTACATTACTTAACGTCACAAATCTTACTAGCAACATAAAAACACGGAACGCTGGCTTAATATGGAATATTCTTTATAAATAATATCAGAACGCAACGCGGTTACGCGTTGTATATAACAAGGCCTCTCTCGAGATCTAATTGATACATCTTAAACCACCAGCTGTGTAAAAAATAAAGAGTAAAATTAACACTTCATATCACAAAGTGGCATCAGTCAACTATATAAAGCCACAGTTGTTGGCAAGGCCGTGGTAAGAAGTACTGCCACTAGATACTCTTATATCAAACAACAGTGATACCTACTGTTCTTGTCTTCAGTACAACATCGGCACAATCTGCCACGATTACACATTACGATTACGATTACATCGCCAGCTTACCAGCATCACGAATGGCAATGTACACGTAATGACCACATATTTGGGCCGATAATGCCTTGAGAAAACCTTGTTATAAAAAAGAAAATCTCACCATATTAAAATACTATTAGACGAATCAAGTGGGTACTTGGACTCGTGTACAACTCGCAGCTCTGTTAGAACAGCTTCGTGAAAATATAGCGTGCATAGACGAATTATACAGAGTTGTCATTGCAAAATTATTTTGCAATAATACAGTTATTAAATTCATTCATGATTATACATATACATAACTTCTTTGGCAAAATAGTGCATTAATATATTACAGAATCGCTTTCCAAATCAGCTAATCCCATTATCAGAATACTACACAAATCAATGGCATTCCCTAAATCTGTATCAACACAATTAATTGAGATTTGGATATCTCTCCATCTTGATTACCAGCTCCACAATACATACACATTGGCAGTATATAAAACAATGTATTACACTGTGATTTTCCTAAACTTACTACACGCTAGAAACAACTATTACGGATGGTTTCTATGCAGCCAAAAAATTCGACCTGAATAGACTGTGTTTAAGACACGTGAAACTTGCCAACAGGTTCACCATCAATACAACAGAGCTGCCCACCTATCCAATAAGCGGCAGCAGCATTCATCTGACATCAACAGCATTCATCTGGCATCAACAGCATTCATCTGGCATCAACAGCAGCAGCAGCATTCTCCCAGCAATAGCATCCATCCATCCATCCATCCATCCATCCATCCAGTAGCAGCAGCATCCTCCCATCGCAGGCAGCACAGCAGCAGCATCACTCACATCCAGCACAGCAGCATCCTCCCAATCCAGTCAGCAGCAGCGCATCCTCCCCATCCAGCCAGCAGCAGCCATGCATCCTCCCACGCCGCCCATGACCAGCCAGCAGCAGCAGCATTCCATCCAGCAGCAGCAGCAGCAGCTCCTCCCCATCGCAGCGCGCACAGGCAGGCAGCAGCAGCATCCTCCATCACCAGACAGCAGCAGCATCCGTCCATCCAGTAGCAGCAGCAGCATCCTCCCATCCAGCAGCAGCAGCAGCATCCTCCCATCCAGCAGCAGCAGCAGCAGCATTCCATCCAGTAGCAGCCGGCACGCAGCAGGCATCCTCCCGCCATCCAGACAGCAGCAGCATGCCTCCCATCGCGCTAGCAGCAGCAGCATCTCCATCCAGCAGGCAGCAGCAGCATCCTCCATCCAGCCAGCAGCCAGCAGCATCCTCGCGCATCCAGCCAGCCAGCAGCATCCTCCATCCAGCAGCGCCAGCGGCATTCCATCGCAGTAGGGCAGCAGCAGCATCCTCCATCCACAGTATGCAGCAAGCAATCGCTCCCATCGCAAGGCAGCAAGCAGCCAGCATTGCCTCCATCCCAGCTAGTAAAGCAGGGCAGCATCCTCCCATCCAGCAGCAGCAGCAGCATTCCATCCAGCAGCAGCAGCAGCAGCAGCAGCATCCTCCCCAATCCCCTCCAGTCCAGCCAGCAGCATCCTGCCCATCCAGCAGCAGCAGCAGCAATGCCTCCCATCCAGCAAGCAGGCAGCAGCAGCATCCTCATCCATCCCAGCGGACAGCAAGCCAGCAGCATCCTCCATCCAGCCAGCAGCAAGCAGCATCCCTCTCCCATGCCAGCAGCACAGCCGCATGCCAGCAGTAGCAGGCAGCATTCGCATCCCAGCAGCAGCAGCAGCATCCTCCTATCCAGCAGGGCAGGCAGCCAGCAGCCCATCCTCCGCCATCCAGCGCAGCAGGCCAGCAGGCATCTCAAACCATCCAGGAGGCGAACAGCATTCCATCCAGTAGCAGCAGCAGCGGCATTCCATCCAGTAGCAGCAGCAGCATCCTCACGCATCACAGCCAGCAGGCAGCAAGCATCCATATCCAGCCAGCCAGCAGCAGAGCAGCAAGCGCATCCCTCGCCCACGCCAGCAGCAGCAGCAGCATCCTCCCATCCAGCCAGCAGCAGCAGCATCCTCCCATCCAGCCAGCAGCAGCAAGACACTCTACCGACGCTCGCCCATCCACGGCAGCGCAGTAAAGCATACTCCATCCAGCCAGCAGCAGGCAGCTATGCCTCCCATCCGCCAGCAGCAAAGCAGCATCTCCCAATCCAGCCAGCAGCAGCAGTCATCCTCCATACCAGCCAGCAGGCATGCAGGCAGGCAATCCTCCCCCATCCAGCAGAGCAGAAGCCATCCTCCCATCCCAGCCAGGCGCACGCAGCATCCTCCGCTGCCAGCAGTAGACAAGCAGCAGCAATCCTCCCATCCAAGGTAGGCAGGGCAGCAGCAGCAGCATTCGCATCCAGTAGCAGGCCAGCAGCATTCCGCATCCAGCGCAGCAGCAGCTCTCGCATCCGCCAGCAGGCAGCAGGCATCCTCCCATCCAGCGCCAGCAGCAGCCAGCATCCCTGCGCCATCCAGGCAGCAGCAGCAGCGCAGCATCCTCCATCCCAGCAGCAGCAGCACGCAGCATCCTCCATCCATAGCAGCCGGCAGCATCCTCCCATCCCAGCGCAGCAAGGCAGATCCTCCCATCCAGTAGCAGCAGCATCGCATCCTCCATCCCACAGCAGCAGCAGCCATCCTCCGCATCCAGCCGCAGCAGGCATTCATCCAGCAGGCAGCAGCAGCAGCATCCTCCCATCCAGCACCAGCAGCAGCAGCAGCATCCTCCCATCCAGTAGCAGCAGCAGCATCCTCCCATCCAGCAGCAGCAGCAGCATCCTCCCCATACCAGCCAGCAGCAGGGGCAGCGATTCATCCCAAGTAAGCCAGCAGCAGCATGCATCCTCCATCCAGCAGCAGCAGCAGCATCCTCCCATCCAGCCAGCAGCAGCATTCCATCCAGTAGCAGCAGCAAAGCCATCCTCCGCATCCACGCAGCAGGCAGCAGGCATCCATCCGCATCGCAGCCCAGCAGCAGAGCCAGCAATCCTCCATCAGCCAGCAGCAGCAGATCCTCCATCCACTAGCAGCAGCACGCAGCATTCCTCCCATACCAGTAGGGGGCAGCAGCAGCATCCTCCCATCCAGGCAGCAGCAGCAGCATCCTCCCATCCAGCAGCAGCAGCAGCAGCATCCTCCCATCCAGCAGCAGCAGCAGCATCCTCCATCCAGCAGCAGGCAGCATTTCATGCCAGTAGCAGGCAAGCAGCAGCATTCCATCCAGCAGCAGCAGCAGCATCCTCCCATCCAGCCCAGCAGCAGGGCAGCAATCCACTCCCGCTCCAGCCGCAGCAGCAGCATTCATCAGTTAGCAGGCAGCAGCACCTCCCATCCAGCACAGCAGCACTTCCATCACAGTAGCCAGGCAGAAGCATCCTCACATCCAGCCAGCAGCAGCAGGATCCCTCCCCTCAGGCCAGCAGCAAGCCAGCATCCTCCCAATCCACTCCAAGCAGCAGCAGCAGCAGCATCCTCCAATCCAGTAGCAGCGCAGATGCCTCCCACCATCCAGGAGCAGCAGACATCAGCCTCCCACCGGGGCAGCAGACAGCAGCAGGCCATCCTCCATCGCAGCACATGGCAGCAGCAGCATCCTCCATCCAGGCAGCAGCAGCCATCCTGCACCATCCACGCAAGCAAGAGCAGCAGCCAGCATTCCACTCGCGCAGTAGCCAGCAGCAGCATTCGCTCCCTCCAGCAGCAGGCAGGGCAGCCTGCCTCGCCATGCCAGGCAGCAGCAGCAGCAAATCCTCGCCATCCAGTAAGGACAGCAGCACGCAGCAAGCATTCTCGCATCCGTAGGCAGTCCCAGCAGGCCATTCATGCCAGGCAGCAGCAGCATCCTCCCATCCAGCAGCAGCAGCAGCATCCCCCCCATCCAGCAACAATTTCCACCCAACAGCAGCAGCAGCACCCTTGCAGCAGCAACAGCAGCATCTATCTAGCAGCAGCAGTATCCTCCCAGCAACAGCATCTTCTATTTAGCAGCAGTATCTTCCAGCTGAGGCAGCAGCATCTTTTCACCCAGCAGCAGCATCATTCTATTTAGCAGGGCAGTACATCTCCCTGACCAGGCCCGATCTTTCAACCACAGCAGCAGCAATCCTTTCATATTTAGCAGCAGTATTTCGCACTGAGGCAGCAGCATGCTTTCACCCAGGCGCAGCATCTCTATTTAGCAGCACACAGCCAGTATCTATCCACTGGAGCAGCAAGCATCTTTCAACCCACCCAGCAGCAGCATTTTATTTAGCAGCAGTATGCTTCCACTGGAGGCAGCAGCATCTTTCACCCCAGACGCAGCATCTTCTACGCAGACAGGCCGCAGCAGCTTCGCAACCATGCCACTAGCAAAGTACTGTGTACCCGTTTACTGTGTCCGTTTGCTTCGCTCAATGCGGTTTCTTAAGGCAACATCATGAATTTTGTCCAGCAAATCTTTTTTGAACAGTTTTCGGAAAGTTCAGTCCAATTGTTCGAATGTTAGCACATAGAACTGCACGGCAGAGTTGCACACACTATTACCCTGCAACACATAGAAACTTACATAGATGCAGATGCCCATTGTCAGAATACGTAAAGTTAAAGCTCATGTTTGAATGCTTAAGCATGGCTCACCCACTAATGTTACGAGATAGCGTTTACAGAAAGCGCAATTAACAGCTATGAGAAAATTTACAAGAACAAGTGATCATGATGCAGACGGACTCCTCTGAACAAACAGGCCCAATGTATCTAACATTACCAGGGAAATAATTTTCCCGGGTATCTGCATCGCAATTTCGGCCGATGTATTTTTCAGGCCATTTGCTACGACATATTTTTTTATGAAATCGGCAAGTTGTGCGATGGCAGCCCATGCGAGATGCTAAACGGAAACATACACCATGTTAATTACAATTCTTTTTATTCTCGGCTGGGCTTTTGGCCGCGTCAATGAAATTGCCACGTTACGCCGATTTTATTCGATTTGTTAACACCACGGCCAACGTTGACTCTTTAAACATCCTGCCTCCCCCCCCCGTACATCAATCAATATGCCGCACCACAGGCACGTATATCACGCGCACGCTGTTGCTGGCGCCTGCAACGCTCCGCGGCTGCTTTCTTTGGCGACCTTTGATTAATATACCACGTGGAGGATGTCGTGGTCGAGGACGCTCCACGCATCCACGCGCCCTTCCCCACAATGCGCTAGAACTGTATTTCATCAAATGTTTGGATATATAAGCGTAAGGACAACATTTGGATAAAGTTCTTATGGAACAATTATTTTTTACTCGCCAACATGGGCGAGTCAGCCTCGCTTCTCCACCGTCGCGAACGGCCCGATATTATTTTCACTTCGATACATTAGCGAGCGGACGAGTGCCAAGCTCGCACGAGACTTGTTTAAACGCTGCCCGGGCAAGCGTGCAGAATCGGCTACTCCGTGTCCTAAGGCCCTTAAGCCCTACGCTGTGGCCTGTAAACCAGCAACGAAACGAACGATAACCACGCCAAGACATGCACTGCGGCGTGTAAAATTTGCACTGTAGATTGTCTGAAAAAAACTGCTATACAAATTTATCAATTGCTGATGCAAAATTTATTTTGTATAGCACATTTGCTTTGCAAATTTTTGGCTGGAAATTGTTCCCTGATTACTCTTGTGGGAACTGCCCCTTTGCCCCCCCCCCCTTGCTAGCTTTCGGCCCTGTACTGTAACTAACTCCCTCGATACATTATAATTACAATATGCTAACATACAACACAAATTACCAGGGTAATAAATAATAAAGTAACCATTTACAGGCTTTTCCACTTCCAAAATTAAAAAAACAAGTGCTGCAGAGCGCGAAGCGCCTCATCTAACGTTCTACTTAGCGGTGACTCTGTGGTGGGAGTGGTGGGATTCTAGTAAACCCTGTTAGTCCCATGTGTTCACATACCACGCCGAAACAGTGGAATTGCACAGGGCATGGTATCATGGAACCTTCTCAAGGAATGTTCCGTTGGATCGTTAATCGAAAGTTCCACGAGATGCACGTACGTTAAGTGTCTCAGATTAAAGATGGAAGCTCCATCGTACGTAGTAACAAGTTGCCGCATAGCGACGCGCTCATACTTAAGCGTCTACTGCGGGAACTCTGTGGTGGCGTGGAGGGATTCTAGGTAAACGCTGTTAGTCCCGAATGTGTTCATACAACGCCGAAACAGTGGCAATCCAGGGATGGTATCAGGAACGTTCTTGCAAAAAATGTTCGTTGGAATCGTTAATGAAAGTTGCCACGAGATGGCGCGTACGTTTAAGGTGTCTTCAGATATCAAAGATGGGCAAGCTCCCATCATTCGTAATAGCCACATATTTGCAAGACCAGCATCTAGGTAAGCACTCATCCCATTTACGCGTACGGCAAGCCTACAGGCTGCAAATTGCAATTAGAGAGCTGCCCAGCTGCAACAATTAATGCAGGCAAGAACTGCTCCAACACATGCACGCCCACTGGCAGTGCCATACGTTCATGTAACATACTGACAGTACAGGAATGCATAGAAATTATACGATTTAAGGAAATATCACTTCTTTACCCAAATTTAGCTTATTAGAAATTATACTGTGACATTGTACCGTCATACATCCAGGCATGTATCGATCTAGCTCAGCAAACCGGCATCAATTCTTTCTAACGACAGTCAACAATCCAAGTTTACCTCCTCTTGAGGGTCAAAAGGTTATCCGACACTTACTCTTCGCACGTCAGCAGAAGGGACCTTTCATGGTCCTTTCAATAAAGCCATAAAAATGCTAGGTCACCGCTTGAACACAAAAAAGTTTTTCCATCGCGCCGTCAGACCAATTTCTCAGAAAATGTCTGAAAATCTGCCCCTTGCCCACTGACCTTTGACGCGTGTGCACCTCCAATTTCGGACAGCAGTGTGGCTTTTCCTACCATGATGCTGATTACACACTACATCACGAAGCCGAGGTCAACTGCCGTTTAGATTTTGTGCGCAAATCTCTGCATTTCCCTGCCCTATAACCTTAAGTTAAGGAGTGAATGTTCCGCCTTCTTTTACACCTCTGAACCTTCTGCCCTTTGACCCCCCAGCTTCGACATCCCAACTCGTTTTGACGATCCCCCCCAACGACCCGAATATCGTGACCGTACGTCGAGGAGTTAAGATTTGTGCCCAACTGTTGACGGACGGACGGACGGACGGACGGACGCACGCACGCACGGACGATCATGCGATTCTACAAGCTGCATCTGACTACGTCAGATGAGCTAAACAGAGAAATCACACCAGGTTTTAATATGCCTGCAGGGCAAATCAAGTGCGTGAGTGCTTACATGCATGCATGTGGACGAAACGAGAGAGAGGGAGAGAGAGACGAAAAGAGAGAGACAGAGGCAAAGAGAAGAGGTAGAGACACAAAGAGAGAGAGAGAGAGAGAGAGAGAGAGAGAGACATAGAGATAGAGATAGACATAGAGATAGAGATAGAGGGATAGCGAGCCTATCATTTTGTTTGGTCTAACAGTATTCCCACCTTATGGAATGTTTACCTGTACCAAATCGGCTTTCCTTTTTGCTATAGAATTCCGAGTACGAAGACACAACAATTGGCACAATTGGAATCTGAAACACGCAAATGAGACGTTTAAAGGGACAGTTTACTCTAGGTTCTAGGGTTATTTTCAGTTAATTTAGGTTAAAATTACGCTACATAAAAAGTTTCATGGTTCAATCACCATTAGAAATATTATTCAAAAATGTTTTAAAACTAACGACTACAGTTTGATTACAACGATGGTGGCGCCACTCAAAGCGCACGATCTGATAAGTTGCGCTAAACCACTTTTAAGCCAAGGGCTACAGACCGAGGGTGTTTCTTATTTATTAATTTAAAAGCAAAAGGATTGTAATATCTTATAAACGACATATAGTTTCAGTTATAATATGGATAAATTTGCCCTAAAATGAATATCGTTCGGTTAAATAGCATTTAGGTATAAATACAATTACACTTTTGTGATTAGCCCTCAGTCTGTAACGTGCAAAATAAATTGTCAAATACGCAACTTTTTCGGGGTGGCAGCACGGTCGCGGGTGTCATGGCACCGTTCAAATTTCGTAGCGTTGATGTGTAATTAATTATAACAATTAAATTAGGTATCTGGTAACAAATATGTGTGGGTATAGACGATTTGTTATACAGTAAGTACAGTTGTATGCAGTAAAATCCTAGAGTCTACCATCCCTTTAACAGAACACATTTGATAGTCAATCGCCCAAGTTGCCACACAATTGGACATCTCTTACTCTGCTCTTTATAAATAAAAATTTAGCCACACCTGAGCTGTCACTGCAAGGTGAAAAGCTCCTTTCTTGAAAGGCAGCATCCCAAACTCATGATTCCTAGTTCCCTCTGGAAACACCCAGACTCTAATCTGAAATACAACAAGCCTTGACTAAGAGATGCACGTAATTTACCATTATGAAATTAATCATTCAAGAAATGACACAGTGAAAGAAAAGGCAATCATTGACAATAGCAGCATGCATTATCTGTGTATTATCAGATCTCTTTTTATGGAAAATGTTACGAAATGAGGTAGAATCCACTTACACTCTTTGCTTTAACGTTGGCAAAAACATCTGTCATTGTCTGCCTATTTGCCCCCGATTGACGTCTGTCAACAAAGATGGCGCCACAGAGCTTTAGGGCTAATCCAAACGGACCAGCATACATAAGCTCTTTCTTCACCATGCAAACACAATTGTTTGGCCAAATGTTTGCCATCACTACAACAAGAGTAAAACAGAATTAAATAATGTCCAGTCTCATATTCACATATCTCTCCCTTATTGGAAAAACACCTTTCTAGTATTTTAACTTGCTCTACCTGTATTTATTTACTTATGATCTATTATGCACTGTACATTTAAACAATGAGTCAAGATGATATACCAATCATGTCCAATGAGCTCTGGTGATTACAGACCAGTATGTAGGGTCCTTTTGTATCAAGGTACTCTCCATTTATCAACTCTACCTTTACGCCAAACATCCTTGTCATCTGAATGTATATATTCATGCATGTTCTGAAAATGATAAAACCATGAAATGAAGCTACACACAGCATAAATATTATGAGCGAATCTATATGAGGAAATATGAGAACAGTATCAAATCAGTATTTATCTACATAAATATAGTTATGTTATTAAATGTTTAAAAACATTAGCTATGCAAAGACTAAAGATCAACAAGATACATTTATTGCATCAGCTAATAAACTTTGTACTGATGCACTCCCGCACTTTATCAAAGTACAAACAATAAATCTTTACATGACACAATATATCTACTAAATAACTATTAAAAGACTACTAAATATCAAGTTAGAGTAACCATATCATGTACTAAACACTTTGAACATGACCTTTTGCATTTTAGGATCAAATGACTAATTAAAATTCATTCATTGTCACATCAAACATCCCTCCTGTATAGGTATATCATAATATTAAACTGTGTTCTGTCAAAATCCATAAACGTCACATGAACAGAGAAGCAAACCCTTTTATATCATTCATAATCTAGCAGAACTAAACATGTGTTATTAAATCATACTTTTCAAACAACCAATAATACTTACACTGGCCCCAAGCCGTTTGATTAATGTACCACAAATCATTTACAACTACAGTGTATAATTTAGGTGGCAAAAACTAGTGTGATAAAGATACAGGACAGAAGGTACACGGTGCATTCAATACATATTCAAACATTAACTCTAATCTAAAAAAAAAGCAAGCAGCAACAAAAATATTATCAGCCATACTGAATAAAATGCTTAAATGTAAGCTGTTTTAAAGTGGTAAAAAAGACTCTGTATTTTGGGTAGTAGTTTTTATATTTTGTTGTGTTCAAGATTTATAATTATTCAATTTAATATAATAAAAATAAATCAAAAACTGATGACAAATAATTCAAATCATCTCTGCAAGTTATAACAAGTGCCGCAGAGCGACAGCGCTCAACTGACGTGTACTGTAGCCAGGTATTCTTCTGATAAAACTCACTGGCAACCGAATCAAGTGCGCCCTCCTGCCACGGCACCGCGTTCGCACTCAGAGATATATCTAGGATACTACTAATTACAGATCTAAAATTCTATGATAGGCTTGCTATACCGTTACTGGTAGCAAAAAAAACTACAGTTAATAAAGATACAGCTGCTGGTAACTTTAAGACTTGCGCTATATTAACAGTATCATGGATATGGGTCGCAGTCCGAGCCCGATAGTCGGCGTGGCAGGCGGGGGCGGGGGTAAAGCGCAGGTAGGAGGGCGCCTCTAAATAGCAAGAAGCAGTTCAGTCTTTGTTAACACTCAACAAATTCAATGTTTAACCCTCCTCTTTGACGGCGTCACAAATGATTATTCAGACACCTTACTCTTCGCCCACGTCAGCGGAAATGATTTCATTGGTCCTTTCAATAAAGCTGATAAAAAATGGGTCAGCGCTGAAACAAAAAAAGTTTGCGCTCTGTCCGTTAGACCATGTCCTCAGAAAATGTCTGATATCTGACCTTCCCCCACTGCTGTTGACCTGTGACCTCCAATTCTCGCACTGGATTGATGGGTTGCCTTCCATCACACATATACACGAATATTAAGAGCGTAGGTCGACGCTTTGAGATTTGTGCCGCAATTCTTATTATCCTCTATAACCTTAAGTTTAAGGGAAAATACTTCCCCCACATTAAACACATCTTGGACCTGACCTGTGCCCCCTAATTCGACATCCCAAGGCCTTTACGCGATTTACCCCCCCCCCCCCGAATATCAAGACTGCATACGCTCGAGCGGTTAAATCTTGTGCCCAACTGCTGACAGACGGACGAGACGGAGGACGGACAATTCATTGCGATTCTTCAAGCTGCATCTGACTTCGACAGTTAATAATTTCCAAGCCAGTTTGTAAAAATAGCAAAACCACAAATTTCGTAAAGTTGGTGGCTCTCCTAGTCTGCGCCATGGCTTGTCAGTGACACACTTTTACAGAACGTGGACGAACTTAAACTAATTCTGACACTGGTCTGACATTGACAGTTATTCTACGTAGCAGTTGGAAAGTGGCGCCATCTGCAGGAACACCAGATTTGGAGCTGATTGTAAACAGTGAGATAAGCAAAGCTCGGCAGCGAATCAGAGTCAAGACACACTGCAGCGATGACGACCGGCTGTAACGACAAACGACAAAAGTCGCGGCGACTGGCGCAAACACACTGCAGCGACATCGACCGACGTTAGGTCAAAGTTCACCCAGCACCCGCCACAGTGGTACACATCATCACATGAACAAATGGCAAAAACTCTGCTTTTAAATAACAGGCTGCAAAACTCTCTAGGTATCAAGGGCGCAACCACGTGTTAAAAGTTGGGGGGGGGGGGTACCAAGCAGCTAATCCCAACGTGATCTGCGGGCGAGCGAATATGCACGTATTGGTTCAATATCACGTATTTCAGCGTGTTGATGGAAGTGTTGCATAATTGTGATGTCATGAATACCATTACTTGGATCATGTATAGGGGCCTACATAAAATACCAAAATGTCTTATTAATTCGTTTAAGCTAGTAGTAAAGCTACACACAGACTGTGCTAACTGTGTGACACAGTTAGCATGATTAAGATGAAGAGGAAAATAATAATGATGAAAACAATAATGCAAAAACAAATGTCTGACATGTGCAAACAGAGAACAGTGTTAGAAACCAAATGTAACCTTCCTTGAGTCACACTTTGCAACAAAATCCTTTGCCATTGCTTCAATATCGATTCCAGAACACGTGATAAAAAACAATCGCGTTGATTGGTTCAATTGTCTATTCGCCGTCCTGTCAGCCGGCAAAAGTCAAACTCATTTGACTTTCGCCGTCGCCGTGAAACCCGGCCTGCGCCGTGCAGTGTCAGTGGAGACTGCGCCAGAAGATATCATAGATTAGAACTTTGCCGGTAGGGGTGAACGGTGCCGCGCCGCGACGCGCCGCTTGTGTGGAGATGGGCCTATATTTTGTGTGTGTGTCTATAACACAACGCAGCGTAGCTATATAGACACAGTTGGCTTGCGAACGTGTGGTATGGTGGTATAGTATGGTGAATATCGTGCTCGTTCCATGCACGTGAGATTGAATGTACTATGAAGGTCGAACCTAAATTATATTAACAAGGGTTCTATTTAGATATCTGACTCTGAATCACAGTTATCACACTGCACTTGACCACCTGGGGTTTTTATTTATTTTAACTTTCACCTGTGAAATATGGATGTTTTACGATAATAAACGCTTATCGGACTATTTTGGACCTCCCAGAAAATAAGGTCTTCCAGAAGTTGGGGAGGTCCACATAAAAGTCGGAGGGGGGGGGCGAGTTTAGCGCCGGAGACTAATCTACGTCTTGGCTAGCATTATGGGTTACTTATGACGTGCTCGTTGTGTCACGTGCCGATGGAAATGGCTGCGATTGGCTATTTGTAAAGTGTCGCTCACGACACTGTCGCTGGAGAATAGAAACGTTCCTAAATATTTTTGTCGTCGAGGTTGCGCCGGTCATTATCGCGTGTGTGTGCAATGTAGTGCAATGTGTGTAATGGCTCATAGGAAACAATAGTTTCTCATTTTCTGTAACGTCGTTTGTCGTTACGGTCGGTCGCTGTCGCTGCAGTGTGGCTGCGCCAGTCGCCGCGACTTTGTCGTTTGTCGTTACGGTCGGTCGCTGTCGCTGCAGTGTGTCTTGGCCTGTAAGCTGGGTTTACACTATTGACTTTATGTAGGCAACTTGGTGTTTTTTTTCTTTCTACCAACCTCTCTCTATATATATATTCATCATACATGTTCAAAGCTCTTACGTTATCGACCGTGAGGCGGCAATCGCGCGGGGCGACGCGGATACACATTTGTGCATGTATTAAAATTCCCGCCACCAAGGTGCCGATAGCAAAAACATGCTCTCCCCGGAGGGACACACCTCCTGATGGCTGTTCTATGAGTGGCCTGCATCGCAAAAATCTATACAATTCAGCAATACCGAGTTGGGAAAATAAAACATGTCCTAATCTCCCAACCTCCCAGCCAGTTGGTCGCGCGACTATTACGTTTACACTGCCGATTGTCGGTTGTACAACAGCGAAACTGGCACGATTCGACAATTTGACTGCATGAAGTCAGTACTGCAAGGCTGTACTGCACACAGGCACTTGGAACGTCTCAAGAAAAAAATGTAAACACGAAATGTATTTACTACCAAAGTCTTAATGTTTCTCTACTCTATTTTGCCTATTATTACCGATAATTAACCGCAAATGCCAGTCAAATGCTCATCTGCAACACACAAGTACACCGCACGCACGCCCTGTGCACAAACAACATGAATAAGAGAGCAGACCTGTAGGAAAGCGTGATCGCAAAATTCGCTCGACGCTCGCTTCATTTCACACGACTACAGAACGAAAACACACTAAACAGCCTCCATCTTGGTATCTATCAATAGCTAAATGTTCACTTGTTCGAATTATAACTCTGTCCTCTGTTATTACCTACTCCCGCCAGAGATATCTCGTAAAATCCTGCAGGAAATGTTCTCTCCGTGAAAATGTAAAGAGGACGTATCATCCGAAAATCCCTAACGGCGCTACTTTCAATCGATCACTGTAGTCGTGTGTGTGCCCATTATGCTTGGCTTAGCGAGCCTCGAAACGGAGGCTCGGAGGCAGGCAGCAGCTCATCCCGGCATGCAATGCGCCCCATTACTCGTGTATAAACAGACATCTCGTCCTCTTTACATTTTCACGGAGAGAATATTTCCTGCAGGATTTCACGAGATATCTCTGGCAGGAGTACGTAAGAACAAAGGACAAAGTTATAATTCGAACAAGTGAACATTTAGCTACACATAGATACCAAGATGGAAGCCGTTGGATGTGTTTTTGGTCTGTTGTCGTGAGAAATGAAGCAAGCGTCGAGCAAATTTTGCGATCACGCTTTCCTACCTGCTCTCTTATTCATGTTGTTTGTGTACAGGGCAGGCGTGCGGTGTACTTGTGTGTTGCAGATGAGCATTTGACCGGCATTTGCGGGTAATTATCGGCAATAATAGGCGAAATAGAGTAGAGAAACATTAATACTTTGGAAGTAAATACATTTCGTGTTTACATTTTTTTTTATTGAGACGTTCCAAGTGCCTCGGGTACTGCAGTACTACAGTACTGCACACTGTCTTAGACAGTATAGTGCAAACCCAGCTTCAGACACCACGTTGTTATGTATGTGTGTGCTGTAATGCGAGCATTGTGGTGGCTAGGTACAATAATGAATGTAATCCAACAAGAGCAGAGTTACAACTGTCGAACTGAGTCAACTGTGTAAACTCTACTCTTGTTCTATTAATATTAATGTTACGTTCTCATGCTTGTCGGTGTCCACTACACTGGATATAATGACAAGGGCTATAGCGAGCCATGAGGTGTGACCTAGCTTGGGTAAAGCCAGGTAGTCAGCCTTTAGCCAAATGGCACTGAGGGTGGTCACAGCCAGAGTTCCTTTAATTGCGCCCTCAGTGGTTCTTTTACGTCCCCATTGGCTAGTATTTCTAGAGACGGGACCGCCATTTTACGTGGTAATCCGAGCCACGGGAGATTCACAGTCTCCAATGTTGAGAGCCAGGTTTTTACACCTTGAGAAAAATCTACTAACCTGGCCAGGGTTTAAACTCACAGCATTCAGTGGACAGTGCACGATGCCTACCACTGGGCCACGGAAGCACTCGTGTTAAATTATGTTGTTGGCATGCATATAGCTCTAGTAACTATAGCCCGCGTACGGTTGCCGCTGGCCAGCGGCAACCGTACGCAGGCTATATACGTGTACTGTAGCCAGGTATTCTTCTGATAAACTCACTGGCAACCGAATCAAGTGCGCCCTCCTGCCACGGCACCGCGTTCGCACTCAGAGCATATATCTAGGATACTACTAATACAGATCTAAAATCTATGATAGGCTTTGCTATACCTACTGGTAGTACAGTAATAAAGATACAGCTGTGTAACTTTAATGACTTCGCTATATTAACATGTTATCATGGATATGCGTCGAGTGCGAGCGTAGTACGGGTGGAGGGGGGGGGGTAAAGGGCAGGTAGGAGGGGGCTCTAATAGCAAAAGCAGTTCAGTCCTTTGTTAACACTCAACAAATTCATGTTTAACCCTCCTCTTGGGGGTCAAAATGTTATCAGACACTTACTCTTCGCACGTCAGCGGAAAGTGGATTTCATGGTCCTTTCAATAAAGTGATAAAAATGGTAGGTCAGCGCTGAAACAAAAAAGTTTTGCGCTCTGTCCGTTAGACCATGTCCTCAGAAAATGTCTGATATCTGACCTTTCCCCCACTGCCTTTTGACCTGTGACCTCCAATTTCGCACTGGTGATGGGTTGCCTTCCCATCACACTATACATCGAATATTAAGAGCGTAGGTCGAGCTGTTGAGATTTGTGCCGCAATTCTGTATTTCCTCCTATACCTTAAGTTAAGGGGAAAATATTCCCCCACCATTAACACATCTTGACCT